TTCTCCATTCTTCCCGTCCAGCAGACCTTGGAGAGTTACCTTGATTTTCTTTCTCTGGCACATCTATGAACATCTTCAAATTCTTACACAAATCTTCTTTCCTCCTTCTCTAACCTTCACTTCCTTATTGATACCAATGACAAGAACATAGGTACTTTTCATGTAAAGGCTCTAGACTAAACCTAATGAGGAAAAAACAGGTCACATTGAAAATTAGCATGGAAAAGTTATAAAGATGAAAGAACATCTCAGGTTTTTACAGTCATGGTCTCTGATGGAATGTTTCGCTGTTCAATATGGTAGCCGTGATCCACATGTAAGCTTCTGAGCACAGCAACTGTAGCCATTGTGAGTGGGAATCTGAATTTCTAATTTTATTTAATACTAATTAAAAATTAAATTCAAAAACCTTATACTTGATTCAGTTATTGAAAAGTTTCTGGAAAGCTGGAAAAGCTGCAAAATAAAGGATTTTTTTTAAAGGACTTCATTCTGGAAAGCTGAAAATTAAAGAGTTTGTAAAAGATGTTTTTTGTAAATCCAGAACGTCCCCTGCAAACATTTGCCCGTTTGCTCTAAGACCCATTCTCCACTCTTGCCTGCGCTTTTCTGCACTGTAGGGGGCTTATCCTACCAGCTACATTTCTCAGGCTCCTAGCCAATTGGCTTCTGGCAGAATTTGGCCCATCAGAAGCATGGCCAGGAGATAGGAGATAGGAGAGCAAAGAGAAGATGGGGAGAACCAGGCGTGGGGTGAGGGTATCAGCCCTCTCTTTCTTAAGATGTGCCATCCTTGGTAGTGGCTTTGTGTCTTGTTTTCCAGCTCTTGTCAAACAGCCCTTTATTTTATGACATTATGTGAAAAAATTTAGAAAAGTGCACACAAAATAATACTAAAAATTGATTATGTGTTTATATATAATATTTTTAATGGGTTGTAAGAATATGTGTTAAAATATGATTAGGATTGGTGGAGTGGGTCAGGAAATGAAATTGAGGTTATGGCTAAAGAGGACCTGAGCTTCAACTTTTACAAACATTGTACTTTTTTACAAAACAGAACAAAAATCCACAGACAAAGAGTTAAGGGCTGTTAATTCTGGATGGTGGAAAAGAAAAGAAGAAAAGAAATACCACACTTCTATACATTTCCGGGGAGAAGAAATAACTTTACCATTGTATGTTTTTTTTCCTTTTTTGCATAAGTTTTTCCAGGAATTATTTAAACATCATAACTGTATTAGTTTCCTATTATTGCTGCAAACCAATTACCACAAACTTAGTGGCTTATAATAACACAAATTTATTACCTTAAATAACCAGTTCTGGAGATCAGAAGTCTGATACAGGACTCATTGGGCTAAAACTGAGGTGTCAGCAGGGCAGTAGTCGTTTCTGGAAGCTCTAGGAGAAATCTGTTTTCTAGGCTTTTCCAGCTTCTAGAAGCCAGCAAGATTCCTTGGCTTATGGCCCACTTCCTCCGTTTGCAAAGCCAGCAAGTTTACCTGCCTTTGATCATTCTTCTGTAGTCACATTTCCCTCCAACTGCATCAGGGAAAGGTTCTCTGATTTTAAGAACATTTATGATTAGGTTGAGTCTAGCCAGATAATCCAGAATAACTCCACAGCTCAAGATCTGTAATCACATTGCAAAGCCCCCTTTGTCAGGAAAGGAAACTTATTCACAGGTTCCAAAGATTAAGATGTGGACATTGGTTGGGAGGGCCCATTATTCTGGTTACCATGGTAATGTACAGTAAGAAGACATCCTTCATTTGTAAACCAAAGGCTTTCATACACCCCTCCTCCACCTAGCATGCCATCTTTCAGAGAAGACAAAGTTTGTATTCAAGTTCAAGTCCACAGCAGCCCGGTTGTTCACCTTCTGATTATGCATAGCTGAGCAGGAAGCTTGCTGTACATTTTTACAATAGAAGACAATG